ATTTTTGTTTCTTAAAATTGGACACCTTACGCGAATGAAACCAACTTTATGTTGTTAGCAAACGTCTTGTGAGAGCTGCCCTGTTTTTAATTAACCCTAATCAAATAAATATTTAAAATTAATTACCTAACTTTTTGAATGTTGTATAAAGCGACGAAATGTGAATTGACAAGCTCTAGATCTCCTTGAGAAACACCCAAATCAGCTGTTTGCAACGTAATATGGCTGGCGTGTTCTTTGTTTGGTTTTTATGAGCAGTAATGAACTTTGTGAAACGTGACAAAATGCCCTGTGATAACGCGCCCGCCCCATCATACCCTCAATTTCGAATGTCCCAAGCTTTCTATGAACGAAAATAGCCACTGCTATTTTCGTACAAGAATTAGCAAACATTTCATCTCAAATAAAATAAATTTTGCATCCAACATATTCGGCTTGCTTACTTGAATCAAAACAATATTTGATTTCATTACAATTATTCTGAGCCCGCTCACGCCTATTCTTTAGAGAGCTTCAAATGATGCATTGTTTTTAGTCGTGTGAGGTTCCTAACAATTTATCTATTAACCAATCGTTAACAATTAATGCTATATGATTTTGCGGTGGAGGCACATTCGAAGATGATGTTCTGATCTATCGTACAAAACGACTCATCAAGCTTCTTGCTGGTTAGGGCCTTTCCTAGACGCAGTAGCAGTAATAAAGCCAAAGCCTTATAGAGTAGACCGCCTGTATCGACTCAACGCGTAAACACGATGTGGAGCGTGTAGTGCGTGCGCTGGAAAAGAGATACCGGCGAGGCGAACCATCGCGTCTAACGTCTAAGAGCCTCACACGGGATAATGCTGCGCCTAACAAAGTCACTTAGGTTCTCGCAGTAGAATGGTTCAGAACCACTGGTTTATGAAACGCGATCCGTGAGATACCGAAAACGCCGCTCATCGCTCCCGCTGTCGCCATGAATTCGCATAAACAGCGAAAAATGCCAAATCAGAGATTTAGAACACAAATTATACTTCAATGACTCCTTCTTCGATTAGAACAACAGTTATTGATGTTTTTACAACAGCAGAAATTGTTCTCCAAACCCACGCTAAAAACATCCATCGAACTCTTTGGGGAGAGCAGGTGCCTAGGGAGCCTTCATGTGCGCTTTGCTAGGGTGATGCCACCCTTTGTAATACCACTCGCCGACAAACCAGAAGCCATTTTGGTCTCTGCGATAATCCGTAGGGCTTATAACCCTCCCGGAAACAAGCACCGTATCTCACAAGTTCGGAGCAGCGTTGTGGAACCCACGGAGGGAGGATTAGCATTTCCCCCCTCAGATGGGAGGACCGATGGGCACTAGGGCCACTTTCCGGCGCACGGGGAAACAATGAGGAACAAAATGGCGGTGAAAGAGGGTGTGGGAAAGGGAAACAGGCAGTTGGCATCACATTATGCGAAGCGCACATGAAGGAACCCTACAGGTGCCAAGCTCGCTCAAAACAGCCTCAGCTGGTTCAGCTCCTTGTCGCGCAGGTGCTGGCTTGCTTCTGGATAATCCTTTAAAACCCTCTGAACTTTGATTGCACCCACCCCAATCTTGCACAAAGGAGATCAGGCAGGCGGTCAGGAAAAAAGGTCGGAAAAGGGCGTAGAGGAAACGAGAGGTGATTTCCTTCGTTGACATGGCGAGAAGGGAAGTGAGGGTCCGGTTCCTTCTCTCTGCTTGTGCGCCGGCCTTTAACGGGATGCTCCCTTGTGTATGTGTCATAGTTCAAAATGTTTGTATATTTTTGTTACGTCTAGCTGTCTAAAAAAATGTTTGTCTAAGCTGAAAGGTGGTTGTGCTTTGGAGGTGGCCTCCCTTATGGGGAATTCCAGAGTTAGATCCGGAGCGCTTTCCAAAATCCTAGAGGGAGGTGAGCGGAAGATGGCCTCGCGTTTTTGGAGCGACCCGCCCGAGACGGTCGATCGTTCAAAATGGCCGCCGCTCGTACTTTACAAGCCGACCAATGCCTTCGCCGAGTGATCTCTCCGACGACCAGTCACAACTGTTACTTCTTATCTGCAGAAATAACACGCGACTCAGGCCGGGCGAAATTTCCGTACCACGAGCCCATCTCACAAATAACGAGGAAGACGTCCGCATTCGCCACCGTGACCTATATTTCGGATACCTCAAAGCGGCGGGGCACGCACAGCGTTGCCATCAGTAGAGTTCGGATAGCTGGTACGACTTCGGTAAACACAAAGAAGTAACAAACCATAACTTGCACATTCGTTGCCTTATATGTGCTTGCTCTATTGCACAAGAAAACGCCAGCGACTAAAGTGAAAAGAGTAAAACAATCAATGGCGATAAAATGAACGGGCCTAACCTTGCGCCTGCCTCCTTCGGATTTTCTGAAGTAGTTCTTTTTCTAGTTTTTCCTCTCACGATCACAGATGTCAGCGCTTACGATTTTCCATACTCCAGTCCCGGCTTTGCATCCCTGATCTACGCGAGGTAGAAACAGTCAAACCGTCCCAATCCCACGCAAACCACCGACGCTTCCGGACACATCCAACTAGACGAAGCAGCCAGTCCGGAGACCTCACCCCGCATGCGCACCGCCGAATTAAAGGAAATGACGTAGCGCGCTTCAACCAACTTCCGCTAAGCTTCCTGAAATCTCACGGGTCAAGTTCGGCGGAGTTAGTGGCGCTTTACGGGGCGGGCGCTGCCACAAATCTGCGCGTCGAAGATGAAAAACTTGAGCAGGATGTGCCAGCGGAAGATGCTAGCTCCAAAAGGGACGCTTTTGGAGCGCTCGAAAGCTACAAAAAAAAAAAAAATGGACAAAAAAAATTTTTTTTTTTTTTTTTGTGGTTTGGATGAGGGTTGTGCGCGCTACCTTGAAAAACAAGGTGTTCGGTGGCTTCGTGCGAGTTGTAGTTTTGTGTATAAGGAGGTGAGTTGAATGAAATTATTGGCTGAGCTAGAGACGCTGTCCGTCACCGTTGATTACCCTTCCACTGTAAAAATGTTCCTTTTTCCGCAGTCTCGGGTTGATATCATCATGGGAAACTTCCACTAGCTGGCATGCGCACTGACTTCAATTTCGAAAAATCTGTACTACCTCAGACCCAGCTCTCCGCAAGTCTGGTCCCAGAATTTTCAGATTGGGGTACAAATAGCCCAACTGGGCTTACTAATTTTGTATTTGGCGGAAAGATTCTCTGGTTGGCTATTTTCTATTATTGGTCTATTTCAGGGGTTGCGAAGCTGCGGCTCCCGAGCCGGATGCGGCTCTTCGCGTGTTAAAGTGCGGCTCGCGGCTCCCTCTCTTATGCCCCCCCCCACACACACACACCCACCTCCCTCCAGATCACACGCGCATTTCCCCAAAAAGAGAAATGAAATGCGCTTATATCGAGGCAGGTAGCGGTTTGTTAATCTTGTGCTACCGCTACCTTACATACAGTTGGACTGCTTTTGACTCGGATCGACTAAAAATAGTTCGAATTTCGTTTACTGCTGTAGACAAAAGTCCCCTCGCCCCTTTTTCTGCCTTTCCTCTTTCATGCGGCTCTTGGAAGTTTCGTGGTCTTGTTTGCAGCTCTTAGGCCGGGTCAGCCTGGCCACCCCTGGTCTATTTCGCTCCCAAGACCTGTTGGATTACGTACAGCGCCACAAAGGCGAGAGAATCTTGGGAACCATCGGTACAGATCACGCGCTTTCTCGTTGCGTCTTCGCGACTGCACCTGAGTCGCGGCATGGCTATACCGCCAGCAGTAGCCTTCGCAGCCATCCGCACTTGAACGTCGAACGTCGTTGGTGGTGTATCGTATATATGCTGCCGTAGTACCCGTGTCGACTCTTTTGCAGTGTCACCGAATCCATTTACTGTGCACCGCAACCGTGGCAGGGCTTGACTAGGTACGGAAAAAGAATTAGTGTAGCAGACGACGTAGTTAGGTAATAGGAAAATGGATGAGAAAGGGGCATTCTCGCGGGCTAGCCAGCAGGATACCCTCGCCGTCATTTCCGCGCGCTCGCACAACCCTGCTGTTCGAGCGTTGTTGCCTCGGTTACCTGCGCCTGCTCGTGTGTGTGGCGGGTGTGTGTGTGTGTGTGGGGAGGGGGGAAGGGGGGTGGGTGTCAGGGCACCCGGATCTCTCTTCTGAGTCCGCCACTGAACGCAGTGATGTACCCCCGCTTTGCCATTGGTTCTGGAAAGCAGTAATGGCTTACCTTAGTTTTGAATTGTTTTGCACTTAAATGGTCATGTAATATTTCATCAGCGTTCCAGTGAGATGTTTATATACCTTGTAAGAATTTTTGTGTATTGAACTATTTGCGCTATTTTTGGCTCAATCTCACGAAAAATTGGCGTAGCTGTTAATCTGCGAGTACCTGGTAATCCTTCCGTCTCCCTGCAAGCGCGAGAGTGGAGCATATGACCTTTCCGCGCCAGTGAGGAGTTGAAGGCGAAAGGAAGGCGATGCTCTGGCTTCTCCAATCAGATACTCCAAGTGTTTACAGCCGTACCTCGCGCGCCAGCGCCATTTCTCCGCGGACGTTCTTTTCACTTTTTTGCCCAGCGAAGTGCTGGGCAAAATCCTACCGCTCTAAAATGCCTGCTAGTGTTTTCGATTAATGATAATTTTTCGGTTGTGCTAGGAATTGGGCTGAAATAAATGACTTAAGACTTCAGCCGCATGAAGCGCCCGTTGAGATTCTTTTTTTTAAACCAGCCGAGTATGTGGCATAACGTCATAACTGCCTCCCGCCAGAAAATGCGCGCTTTAGAAGAAGCACCAACGGCAAGGCCTTTACGGTGCAGGACCCGCGTTAAGAGATTTGATCCTCACGTTACAGCTCCCTAGCTGTTGAAATCGATTCTTGGTCTATCGCTGCTGCGCTCGAGGTGGCCAACATTAGAACTACAACTCCAAGCTAAACACACGTTTCAGTGACAGAAACGAGTCGAATGACAATTCCTTTTTGCGAGCTGTGTACTTCGTTTCAGTGTCGGAGAGGAAGCGAAGCCTCCTGGACGTTGGCTGCGGACCCATCACCTGCAACGTCTTCCCAGCCACCAAGAGCGTGCAGGACGTCGTGCTGAGCGATTTCCTCCTCGGTAACAGGCTGGAAGTGGAGAAATGGCTGAGGGGCGCGCCTGACGCCATTGACTGGTCCTGTTACAGCGAGTCTTTGGCGAGGCTGGAAGGATTCAGGTAACGACCTTCACAATTCAAATCCCTACCTGACTTTCTAGCCCGCGACAAAAAGCAAAAAGAAAACAAAAAAACGTCGTTTATAAGTTATGATCTTATTTTCCTCATTTGTATATATACTTCGTTTCGCTTTTAGTCCGACCGCTGAAGACGCCACAGCTCGATGTTGAAAGGCAACTCCGTTCAATTGCGAAGATTTCGGAATGATAAGTAATTTCGCATAAAAAAAAGAGCAAAAAACCTAGTACAACACACTACGTCATTTGCGCCGTGAAAATTGAGACATATATCTTAAACACGAGCACAAATCAAAACCGAAACTTCGGCTCCATCGGGCAACATTGGCCTCGGGTCCCCAAGAACATGGCTATTACGTGGTGCGAGATGTCACGTGACCCTCTACGTAACGGGCGGGATTGGGTATGATGCCTGCAGCGCGTCTTCGACTTGTGTGTTTAGCGTCCTAAGCTGCCCATACATCAATAGTGGTACCCAAGTGGCTACAAATGACGTCAGAGAAGCGGGAGTATCATGCTGTGGCATGCTGCGATCCTGGCGGTTGGTCGTCGAAATGCTACCGAGATGCTGCGCGTAGCACAACCGAACGCAGATGTCGCTGTCCACAGGGCATCCCAACTTCTGGCTTCCTTGGGCTGCCACACTGGAGAGCGACCTGCAGCAGGACAGGCGACTGCCACATACACCGCAGCTGTTGGGACGCCGCCAGGATCGCGACTCACGACAGCATGACACTTGGATGACGTCATAAATCGGAAATCGAGGGACCGCTTTTTTTTTTTTAATGTGGTAAACACCCCAGTTGGAGACGCGTTCCAGGTACCATACTTCACGCGGCGTGTGCCAGGCGCAAGTGTCCTCTGCCCTGCACCCGTCACCATGTTTTGGTAACTACGACATTAGACCACGTCTGCACAACAGCAGCATCAGTCTGCGCACGTAGTGGGAACGAAACTCCGAGACGACGGCGGTTGTTACGCGGGAGACGGCGGTAAAGGGCGGTCTAAACCAGCCCTCCAAACGGTAGCGCGTGAACTCCGGGAGCCGTAAGCAGGAACCGGAAGTTTCAGCTTCCGGAGCCCGGAGTGAAAGTCGAAGATTAAAATCTCCTGAAGCCTACACCACGGTGCAGAAGACACTTGAGCCTTGCACACGCCCGCACCAACGGTGGCCCGCCCCGATGCCACCCATCGTTGCGTAGAGGACCACGTTACCGCTCGCACCACGTGGTAAACATGTTTTTGGCGGCCCGAGGTCAATGTTGCCCGACAGAGCCAAAGTTTCGATTTTCGGTTACTGCTCATGTTTAAGCTAAGATTTCTCACAATATATCCCATTTTTCGCGAAACGAAACACATGGCGCTTTTTATGATCGCTCTTTAATGTGAGATCACTCATACTCCTGAAGTTCTGCGAATGAAGCGGATTTCCCCTTAAAGAACAAAGGTATACTCGGGAGGCACTGGCCATCTCTCTCTTTCTTTTCCGTTCTCTTCAGTGTCGCGTGGTAGTTGCCGCGGGGGCAGGGTTTGCACAGGATGTTCCCGTAACTTGTTGAGCACCTCGCCAGTGAATATATATGGTTCTTGTATGTTTATTGGCGAAGTTTTTTAAACTGAGAAAGATGCAGCATCCTGTGAAACAAGGTGCAAGGTTCATTATGGAGCTCTTTGCTTTTCTATAGACCACAACGAAAGCTACAGGCCAAGGACGCGAATCGCGCCTCTTGACTCCGCTCTGTCACCGCATTTACCGTCCATATTCCTCGAGCACGTAAATGGCGCTGCATCATCCTTACGTCGGCACGGGAAGGGTGGACGATTAATGGCGGTCCGATCCAATCCGCAATCACGTCCCCCGGAATGATGTGGGGAACGGAACCTTTTTTATATATAACTTGCGCAGGACAGATGTTGGGGATGGTGTGCAGAACTGTCTGGACCAGCCAGTGGGGCAACGAGCGCCCCAGCGACGAGCAGGTTGAGCGGGAAAGAAAAAAATTCATATTTTCTCCATAGGCGGGAGAGACAGAAAAGGCAAACTCTGTGAGATTTTTAAGTGGCTTCGAGGGGGATGATGCAACAAAAGGAACTGCTTCTTAAAGGGCAACTCCGGCCAAAACTCAAAATGAAATAAATTACTGGTATCGCTGTAGTGACACAAAATACGACTCCAACCAAAATATTACGTCCGCAGGACGCCGCATTCTCAACTAGTGCCGATAATAAAAATGCGGCCCACCGCGAGCCGCTGCTCCTTAGCGGGCGGCCTGCGGGTTGCCGATCGTAAAGCAACATTGGGCCGTGACGTCCGTATCGTTCTCTTTTTTTTCCTCCGGTCCGGGCGTTGCGCGGGGTGCGCTTCTTTGAGCCGCTACCGCCGCTACTTCGGCTTGTGATTGGCGTGTTTAACCGTTGCTTTTATCTGTAGCCCGTGTAGCTTCACTATAGCCTTTTGTTTATTTGTTTGTGAGGACTTTAAGGACTCGTTTTAGCGAGCAACTCGGTGCGCCCAAGTCTGCCCAGCTGTTCCTCGAAAGATGCGGAGTGCAACTTGTAGCGCTGTGAGCTGCTCAAACAACCCGCTGCGCAACACGGAGGTGCTTTTTTCAGAAGTTTCCGACGGACCGGAAATTGGAGAAGGTGTGGGTGAACGCTGTTCGACGAGTGGACTTTGGACTTCGGCTTTGACGCGCACGAGGAAAAAAGAACAAAAAAACAGACGTGTGCAGCCTAGCACACGTGTGTTCGGGCGCTGCGGCCCGCGCCGGAGAGCCTCAAACCTTCGTGTCTGGGACTGACCCTCAGCGCGAAAGCGAGAGGGCCCCCAGTACTGTACGTCACTGGCAGCGTGGCGTAAAGCAACGCCACTTTATCCACGGAGCCCAGATGACAATTTAGGCCTAGCGACGAGTACGGAAGACCGCACACACGGCGGCAGCCGCCGAGTACAGCACCGAACGAGTGCACTTGTTTTCCAGTCGCTAGCTTTTGGGTATGCAAGCGACGAGTACGGCATAGCGCATTCACGGCGTTGGCCGCCGAGTACGGCACCGTACGAGTTCACGGGTTTTCCAGTCGCTGGCTTTTGGGTATACGCACTAACTCTTGCCACATATGCTGGATAACTACCACGTATACAGAATTAAAACAAAATCAGCTTACCTCCTATATTTAGTCGGCTAGCGCAACAGAGGTAGGTGCCGCTGGGCCTGCGTACTCGTTGAACGAGAACGATCCTGACGTCACGTTCACATAGCGGCTGATTTACAGTGTTGCCGGTGCCTCGAGCGGCTAGTTTCCGTTTTGTTGGCTGCGCCCCAAACAAAATTTTGAGGCGTCGATACCTTTAAAACTACGCACAATAACGAGAAAAAAATTACACCTTGCAGTTCAGGGACGCTGGCTGCCCTGAAATTAGTCATAATCCCAAAATCGAAAGTATGGACCGGAGCTGCCCTTCAAGGCTTATTTTTTCCTTTCGTTAGGTGCCCGAAAAGCGACGAGCGCCCCCCCCCCCCCCCCCCCCCCCCCCTTTACCCATCTTACTCCACCCCGCTCAAGGTTTTTGTGAGGATGGCGAGGAGTGTGGAAGATTAGTGCAGGGTTTTTTCTTAAGCTTAACGGATTTGTTTAAAAATGAAACTGTGAATGCTGCACTTATTCACTTTGCGCAGTTGAGTTATACGGCAAGGGGGACGTAGCTAAAGCGCTAATCGTAACGATCAATCGGCTAATTAAGTATAATGTGTTCATTAACTTTTGATTAGAGAAAATAGGCATATGGTTCTAATTAAAAACTTACTCAGCGTCGTCAAAAACCACTAAATCGACTCTTTCTAGAAAGATTTAACGCAGCGGCAGCATTTTACGGCGTTCTTTGAAAACACTCTATTTGGACGCGTTTCTAAGTTTCAGTTTCGTATCGGAGCGCATCTCTCCGTTCGCGGTCCTACCCCCTAGTGGCTGAGACTTGCAACACGCGTGCGTCCTCCTTCCCTCCATCCTACAAGGAGGGCGATGGGGTGGCTTCACGCCGCAAACACCGGTGAGCAGAATCGTGGGCGCAAAGATGCGCTCCGACAAGAAACCGAAACCTACTAGGTGATTCAAGGAGCGGCCATCGCTCTTTAAATCGACCGCAAAATTGGGCTTTTTAACCTACCGCTCTACGACTTTGTGCAGCGTTGCCCACAGATGGTGCATTTTTCTTGTAAACTTTACACAGAGCGAACTCACCTAAGGAAAAAGTACAGAAATAAAAAGTCTTAGCTCATATGGAAACGCAGCGAAGCCACCGGTCTTCGAACAATACGGCGCCGCTTCGCACGGGAGACAAGAGATGGCGCAAGCGGAGGCGATGCCGCCGAGAGCCGGCGTCTTTAGCAGACGATCGTCTCGACTCAAAAGAGGCGCGAGCTTTTCTGATATTATTTGCCAATGCATTATTTTATCATCCTTACTAATGGTGAATTCGACTCGTAGATCCGGAGCGCTTTCCAAAATCTGCGAGGGAGGCAAAATTCCGCTCCGTGGGACCCGCTCCGAATCGACGAGGGGAAGATAAACTTGCGTTTTTGGAGCGACCTTTACCACACCCCTCCCCACCGCTTCCCGGCTTCCCTCTCCGCCGTTCGAAAGGGCCGTCGCTCGAACTTGACAAGCGCACCAACGCTTCAGCCGACTGATCTTTCCGACGACCTGTGACGACTGCCACTGCTTGGCTGCAGAAATAACACGCGACACACGCCGGGCGAAATTATACGTACCACGGCACCCATGTCACAAATAACGAAGACGTCCGCGTCTGGCACCGTCACATACCTTTGGGCCACCTCGAAGCGGCGGGCACGGACAGCGATTGCGAGGGGTGGAGTTCAGATTTCTGGTGCGACTTTAATAAACACAGAGGGAACCAACCATCACTCGCACAGTCGTTGCTTAATCACTTCTTGCTTTATTTCTCGGGAAAACGCCGGAGGAATGCAGTGTAAAAACGTAAACAATCAGTGGCTGCAGAATGAACAAGCCTAACCTTGCGTCTGCCTCCGGCTTTTCTGTCGTTCTTTTTCTTGTTCTTCCTCTCACGATCGCAGATGTCAGCCCTTACGATTTACCACGCTCCACAGTCCCGGCTTTGTATCCCTGATGTACGCGAGGTAGAAGCGTTCGAGCCGTCACAATCCCGCGTAGACAACCGACGCACCCGAACAGACCCAACTCGACGATCCGACTGTGGCCCGACCGGCCCGACCGGCCAAAGCCGCCGCCCGGCCCGCCGACCTCTCCAACCTTGCCACGCATGCGCACTGCCGATTTAGACGGAAATCACGTGAGCAGCTCTGTCAACTTCCGGAGAGATCTGTGAAATGCCGCAGAGCAAGTTCGGCGGCGTTTGGGGCGCTCCGTGGAGCGGGCGCTGCCAGAGATCTACGAGCGGAAGATGACCAACTCGAGCCAGATCTGCGAGCGGAATATGCGCGCTCCAAATGGAGCGCTTTTGGAGCGCTCGAGATCTGCTAGGGGAATTCACCATAATAAAACATATTGAATGGACAGATAAATGATTCAAAAAATGGTTTGTGGGGATATTTTGACTGTTTTTTTTTTTTTCGGGGTACTCATGACGCCTGCTTTGCAGTTCCTTGTTGTTACCGCGCCTGTTTTTATTTCTGTGACTGTCGCCGCCTGCGGAACGCGCGCCGTTTTTGAGTCGAAACGATCGTCTGATAAAGACGCCGGCTCTCGGCGCTGTATGCTCGTTCGCTGGCGGCAGGTGGTGTCGCGAACGCTTGCGCCATCTCTTTGTCTCCCGTGCGAAGCGGTGCCGTGTTGTTTGAAGACCGGTGGCTTTGCTGCGTTTCCATAGGAGCTAAGCCTTTTTCTTTCTTTACTTTTTTACAAGAAAAATGCACCATCTGTGGGAAACGCTGCACAAAGTCGTAGCGTGTTAGGTTGAGAGACCGAATTTTGCGGTCGACTTAAAGAGCCTGGCCACTCCTTGAATCACCCAGTATAAACGCGTCCAGACTGAGCGTTTTTCAGAAGGCCGTAGAATGCTGCCCCTGTTCTATATGTTAAAAAAGAGTTTGTTTTAGGGGTTGTTAATGATGCTCAGTAAGTTTATATTTGAAACCTTCTGTCTAATTTTACTAATTGAAAATTTAACAGATAATTTTAGTTTATTAGCCGACTGATCGTTACAATAATCCTCCTATTAGCCCTGACAAGATGTGGAACCATCTGGCGGCTGCTTGTAGTGACAAAGTACCAAGTATCACGGTACCGCTTCTGCGCTTCGTGGGTAGCATGTAGGTTGAGGTGTATCGTTCACAATTCATGTTTGATTCGTTAACGTCAGCGAGAGTTTGGGTTTGGGCGTGACCACAGTGGAAGAAACACAATTAGGTAATGACTCTGGACACTCTTCCCGCGGGGAGCGAGCGACCAGATTGTGTTAGGAGTTGCCTAAAACCAGGAGTAGTTAGTTCCGCGCCACGGCGGAGGGCGCTGAGGAATGAAGTCCACCTCGGCGGCCACGGTGTTGGCGGCGTAGCGTGCTCTCCTTTTTCGCGATGTGGTTGTGTGATGGTGGTGCGTGGCAAGAAGCTTGCCTCGTGTTTTGCTTTCGTGATGTGTCATTCATAGGTGCCACCATCGTGCACGAAGAAGGTATCGCAGTAGCATTTCATTTCCGATAGGAACTTTTCCAGGATCCAGATGTCACTGGAGAGGAAGCCTTTCCACTTGCCTGCTTACGCGATATAGTGCTGTACTTGCTCTCTTGACGCAGCTTGCTTGGACCTATTCGTAGCGCCGGTTGCGTCTGGACCTAAGGTGAAACAAAGTATAGAACGAAACATAGGAGATGTATTGTGCCTCATCGCTTCAGCACTGACTCTTTTAGAAACCCTTTTTTCGTCAAATGCATCGATCAATAAATGGAACTGCCTATTCACGGATGCTGTGAACAGTGAAAATGTGTGAGGTTATGTGGCTAGCATTCCTAATGCTTAAGTGTGTTTATAGTTTTGAAATGGCTACCAAAAATAACAAGGTTAAATAAAATTTATTAAGAGTTTTAAGCGCCTCACACCCTGAACAGAAAATACCCAAAAACTAAAAGATCCTCGTAACTTTTCCACTGTTGGAACAGTGACATCAAGCGAGGAGCGGAAGAAATTACGGCGAGAACGCGCAAAGCCATCAGGAAAGTGGTCCCTGGCGATATCTTGACCCCCGGAGTCCTTCAAAAAGAGCACCAGGAAAAGTTCGACGTGGTCCTGTCCTGCTTCTGCCTGGAGGCCGCTTCCCTGGACGAAGCCACGTTCCGCACGGCCACCCAGAACGTCGGCGACCTCATTTACGAGGGAGGCATCCTCATACTCTGTGGCGTCCTCGGCCGCCACGAGTTCAGTGTTGGCGGAGTCAAATTTCCTTGCCTCTGCTTGACGCCTGGTGCCGTGAAAGATGCTGTGGTGCGAGCTGGCTTCAGAGTCAATTTGTGGCGTTCCTTGTACAAGCCTGGCCCTTTGACGCCAACTATCGACTCAGCGTATGTCGTCGCAGCCGAGAAGCTGTGAAGCATCCCCTGGCCTACGGAGTTTTCACTGTAGCCCTTGAAGACAAACTAGTAACACCCAGGGTGTCTTTATACTGGCGTTTGCTATTAAAGCTTATTTTATATATGACGCACGTGTCTAAGAAAACAGGATAGCCAACGAAACGAAAGGAAGTGGAATCCTCGCAGCACTTTAACCTAGTTCTAGAACATAATTTCCCACTTCAACTTCAACTGTTCTTTCAACACATTACGTAAACAATGCAGGCCTCCCCCTTCCCATACAGCGAACTTTCAATGGAACCACGTGCGTTCACCGCTGCAGGTGACCTCAAACATTTGACCAATGACTTTTGACCACAATCTAGAACCAGAGGCCATTTCTACAGAAGCATGTTGCATTGACCTCTGACCTTACCTTTCAGTTGTGTGCTCTTAAAAATTTTCGCTAAGGCTGACCGTTTTTTTTTTGCGCCGTATTTGGCTTAAGTTAACCAAGCTTTTTGACGTCAATGAGAGGGCCGTTTACGTCAACGACAACATGCCACATATAACCCCACACCAAGAATCTACTCAACGCACCTGTGTGGGCGAATGATGTGCAGTTTCTGGTGTGCACGTTCAGTCCTGAGTGTTTTGTGTGTTTGGGGTGTTTTGTGTGTTTGGGGTGTATTTGAGTTTATAGAGTATTTTAAGTGGCACTGCGGCCTGGGTGCTGGGAATATTTTCCGTTTTAGAGCGCAGCTCTTAAAGCCCGTTCACACTCTTGCGACCTCTTAAACCTGGGTTCCTTAAAACTTCTTAAACCAGAGAACACACTGGCGCCATCTATTGGGAAGCAGTGTAAACTCGGCGGTCCGGCATATTTTTTTTTTTTGTATTTCTCGCGGATTATCCTTTCTTTCTTGGCTCGAAAAACTTTTGTCAATGTTATAAACAAGCCTTTCTATGGGTATTACGCACATTTGACCTCGGAAATCCCGCAAAACCTTCGCTCTTGTGAAATGCAGTTCCAGGGTCACCGCATAGATGGCGCCACAATACCAGTGTGTTCCCTCATTCTAAAAACATTTAAGAAGTTTTAAGAGATCTCGTCTCTCTCAGTCGTACTCGGTCGCAAGAGTGTGAACGGGCCTTTAGGCGCCCGTTTCCGGCTTGAGTGGCGTCGGGATCGGCGTCGCCGTCGCCGTCGCTGTCGGCGTAACCACGCGGTGCATTATATGTAAATTTTCCCTAAGAAACCCGAGGTCCTCCCGAAGCACCTCGGGAGAAACTCGGGTTCCTTCGGGAGGACCTCGGGAGGACCTCGGGTTCCTTCACGAGGACCTCGGGAGGACCTCGGGGGGACCTCGGGTTCCTTCGGGAGGACCTCGGGTACCTTCGGTGACCTCGGCAAGGGGCAGTCACGTGACCCCCAAGCTCACGTGACCCCCCCCCCCCCCCCCCGAAATCACGTGGACCCCCCCTCCCACCCGCCCGAGGTCACGTGATCCCCGAGGTCACGTGACCCCTCCCCCAGGTCACGTCACCCCTTCCTCCAGGTCACGTGACCCCCTCCGAGGTCACGTGACCCTCAGTACCCTTCCTTCCTTCATCGAGAACACGTGACCCTCAGTACCCTTCCTTTATCCTCCTCAAGAGCTGCGCTCTAATTCGGCGTTACATGGAGTTGTAAGCGGCTTTCATTTTTTTATTTCTTTTGTGTTCAAATTGATAGATAACGCGCCGACCATCTAGTCGTTTCTATAAACGCAGTTCTTACTATGTGAGCATGTTGACACAACACCACCGTATAAGTCCGTTAGCGACATTTTAGCCACTCGGCTGTTACGCGCTACATAAAGGTTTCGTGATAAAAAAGTGCCTAATTTTGCATCCAATGGTCGTCGCTGGTCGTGCGAATCTCTGAACCCGATGTTCGCTTTTGCAGTCGGGAAACGCAATAACTCTTAGAGTGCAGCTTTTAGGCGCCTGTTCCCGGCTTGAACGGAGTCGCCGTCGGCGTAACTGTGAGGCCACGTGACACCCGTGAGGCCACGTGACCCCCGTGAGGCCACGTGACCCCCGTGAGGCCACGTGACCCCCGTGAGGCCACGTGACCCCCGTACACTCTAAGAAAGGAGGGGAGTTCGAGGGAGTTAAACGGCTTCACAACACCCCCAGCATGCGCTAGCACCCCTTTGGAAGGAATATCCTCTTTCAAATAGAAGGAGCGAGCAAGGGGAAAGAGAATTTCATTTCATTTCATTTCATTTATTGTTCCCTTAAAGCGCCCGTAGGGCTTTACATAAGGGGGGGCTTTGGCAGCAAACAAAAACAAACAAAGAAAGGAAAAAACAGGATTAAAGGTTGCTAAATATCGAGAAAAGTAGCAAGTGCAGCTCTGAATCCAGATGAGTCTTGAATTGTAACAATATGTTCTGGCAGAGAGTTCCATTCTGAAAGTGATAATTGCAGTGGAGAGAATTTAAAAAGGTTGGTCCTTGGTGTTACCAGATGAACTTTCTGAGAATGGTCTGTACGAGGAGAAATGTGATGAGCCGCAGGACAGTACAATTCTCTCTTTAAAGGGGCCAGATAATACAAAGCGTGCAATGAAACTAGTCTGGTCAGTTTCCTTCTTTCCGCGAGCAGTGGAAGGCCGAGTTCTTTTTTTAGCGTAGTAATGCTAGTGTGTGTATAGTTTTTAAGAATGAACCGAGTTGCCCTGCTTTGGATCGACTCTAATTTCTGAATTAGGTAAGCCTGGTGGGGGTTCCATGTTGTAGATGCATACTCGAGCTGCGGGCGAACAAGGGCAGTGTAAGCTACGAGTTTTGTCTCCCGGTTTGCCATATGTAGTGTTCGTCTCAAAAAACCGAGGCTTTGGTTTGCCTTTACAACGATCTGATTAATATGAGCTTCCCATGATAAGTTTGACGTGAAATGAACCCCGAGATATTTGTACGTGTGGACATGTTCAATGGGTGTATTAAAAAGAGAGTAGCTAAACACTGTGGCACTTCGCTTAGTGTTGAAGTTTAAGAATTTTGTTTTTAGGATGTTGATTTGCATTTGCCATTTTTTACACCATGTTTCTAGGGTAATCAGGTCATTTTGAAGTTGAATGCAATCACTAATGCAAGATATTTTCCTATACACCACACAATCATCAGCGTACAAACGGATGGTTGAAAGAATACTATCGGGTAAATCATCCACGTACAAAAGAAAGAGCAATGGACCCAGCACGGTCCCCAGCGGCACTCCCGATTTTACTTTCTGATGGGATGAAGATTTGTAATCATAACAAACACTTTGCGAGCGATTAAAAAGAAAATTCGATATCCAGTCTATCACGAATGGCTCCACTTGGAAAGCACGTAATTTTAGAACTAGTCGATGATGCGGCACCTTATCGAATGCTTTTTGGAAGTCAATAAAAATTGCATGCGTCTCAGTTTTAAAATGCAGGTTACTGTGTATATCAGTTACAAATTCAAAAAGTTGGGATTCGCAAGAGTGAGACCGACGGAAGCCGTGCTGGTTTACAAAAAGTAGGCTGTTGGCTGACAGGTGATCCATGATATTTGAAAATAAAACATGTTCCATTAATTTACTCGGAACACTCGTCAGAGAGATGGGTCGATAGTTCGTGAATTCATTCTTTTGACCATTTTTAAAGACCGGGGTGACTTTCGCCCTTTTCCAATCAGCAGGTATTTGGCCACTAGTTAGGGATTGCTCAAAGATAGAACAGAGGATTGCGGAAGATTCACATTTGCTAAGCTTAAGTAGCTTCGTCGTGATATTGTCAGGACCGGGGGCAGAATTTGTTGGGAGATGTTCTATTAGTTTCTGAATTCCGCTCACAGACATAGTGATTGGGCACATTTGTGTGGCTATGTCGTAATTAGGCGAATGCTCTGGTAAGGGGAAAATATCTTCAGAAAACATCTCGCTAAAAAAACGACTGAATTCCTCGCACACTGCACCCACATCGAGCTCGTCTCCCGCAGGATTAGTGAATCGGTGAGGCTTCGACACTTGCTTAGGGTTAACCGCTTTCCAGAACTTTTTGGGGTTAGCTGTCATAAGGTTGCGGAGGTCTTCGTTGTAAAACTTGTTCTGCGCTCGACGTATCTCTGTCTTGCATACTAATTGGAATTCGTCATACTTTGTCCACGCAGAAGGGGACAAAGACAATTTAGCTGTTTGAAATAGTCTCCGCTTTTTATTCAGTAGTCGTTTAAGGCGGTTCGAAAACCAGGGTTTCTCAATAGAAGACTGTATATTTATTTTTGGAATAAACTGATCACATAGATCAAGTAGCTTTTGTTTGAATAATCTCCAGTTTTCGTGAACTGTCCTAGAGTCAAAGCCAACCATGTAAATACTTGAAAAAGATTGCAAGCTACGACAGAAGTCATCGACGTTAGCCCTGGAGTAATCATAAATAGCTTTTACCAGCGGACTGTGCTTTTGCGTAGGAAGAGCAAGTTCAACATTTAGGGAAGTGTGATCACTGAGCGGTTCCATAAAGTTTACCGAAGCTATAAAATCTGGCTCCGAAATGAAAAAAAGATCCAAGAAAGCAGAGTTACGAGTTGGCTTGTCAACCATTTGAAAAAGAAAGAAGGCGTTTATCACATCAACAAAATCCCGACTTTGCTTTGAAAGTTTATACCATGCATCAAAAGATATGACATTTGGAACAACCGGCCATTTTATTTCGGGGTAGTTAAAGTCACCGGAGAGAACTATGAGATCATTTGGATAGGAACGAGCAAGGGTCTCTAAGCAATCATAAAGTAATGGCGAGAAGTCTGACAAGTCAGGTGGCTTATAACATGCGATTACTAAAATACAAACAGTAGGCGTCCTAATCCTTACCCAAACACCTTCAAAACTTGATATTATATCACACTTTTCAACATGCAAAGTACTTCTAACAGCAATCAACACTCCCCCTCCCCGCCGCTCAATCCTATCTTTCCGGATGATAAAATACGAGTCACTTAGGATTAATTCGCTATCTGCAAT